TACCTACCTACCTACCTACCTACCTACCTACCTACCTACCTACCTACTACTGACTACTCACTACTGACTACTGACTACTTACTACTTACTACCTACTACCTACTATCTACTACCTACTACCTACTTACTACTTATATATTACATACTACATACGACATACTACATACTACATACTAGTAGTAGGTTGCTTTTGGTTTCTGACACCCGCTCCACTTCACCAAATGTACCTAACCCCTTCCACAACTTCAATCCCGCCTCTCGAACCTCCTCCACCGTCGGCTGCCGGAAGATCAACGGCACGTCCTCCGGTGCCGGCATCGGCGCCGGCGCTGGCAGTGCCACCTCCGGCAGTGCCACCTCGGGCTCCGGCCCGGCTGCGTGGCTGGAGGCGTCCCCGGCGAAGATGCTGTCCATGGTTTCAGCGAAGGCTTGCCAGCTATAGGCCTGGACCGGCGGTTGCCGAACTGTCGAAGTGTGGATGGATGTCTGGATGGATGTCTGGTTGGGAGGGTTTGGCTCAGGATTTACAGATCATTGAAGGGACTCCAAGCCACACTAGGGCGTTGGCAAAAATCGACTATAAAGGTCAGCAAATGTGTCCAGTGACTATGTAGCTGATGGCCACTCTGATGGCCAATACAAAAAGAACACTGAGCTAGGGCCGCTAGGGACAGGGTTGTCCCACAGCCGAAAAACACATCGGACGCTCACTCAAGGGGATTGAACACATGATAGGGATTGATAGGGTCTCTAGGCCAATTTCTGTGTCGATTCTTGTTTTCGCCCTTTCGCATGCCAAGGAACAATTCCTTTGCCCGCACCCTGCAAACGAGAATTCACGGCATTGGCCACAGGCATGGCAGCCGCCAACGCAGCCGGCATAGGTCCCGGTATGGCAGCTCCCATGGGCGGTCCTTCCATGGTCAGTCCGGCTTCAGGCATCATCGGTCCTTCCTGCCGGCAAACACCATGGCAGACCTATGTTGGGTTTCCACCTTAGACTGCATCTGGGCACATCGAACCTAAAGCCATGAAACCATCTCTAGAATTGAGTGCCCTGGTAGGGGGAGATCCCATAGCTCTTCTGATTACATCTAATCTGGATTGGACTCCCAACTTCAATGTCTGGCCCTGAAAAAAACATCGAGGGGTCGATGCCGAGTATCGACCAAACTGGCTTCTTCACCACCAGGGTTGTCAATTCATCAACTTAAATACTATTACCCATAGTCAGTGGATAACGTTAGGCTTCGGCTATCGCAATCAAACCCAACAAGGTTGTATATATAATATATATATATACAGTATATAACACATGACGGGGGTGGAGGTCAGAATAGGAACAGCCCACTCCCAACCCCACCTCTGGCACTTCCATCCGCCGCTCTAGTCCAGCTCCACGTGCCGCTGCCCCAGCCCCACCGCGCAGGGCACGGGCCTCAAACACGCCCCCTCCGGGAGCCTGAAGTTTCCAAGACGTTTCCCAGCATCCAAAGCTTGGAGTGTCAATGGACTCACTTGTTGGATCGGGATCTGTTTTTAGATTATTTAGGGCTGTCCCATAGCCTTAGAAGGTGGGCACTGGCACCGCCCAAAACTACCCACCCCAACCACCGAACCGAAACGGAGGGGCCGGCCAGGAGCCCTACCAGTATATAGAATCCCCCTAAGAAGTGGGTCCGTCCCCCTGTCTTCCCCGTAAGAAGCGGGTCTTCCCCAAGAAGTGGGTCTTGGTCAATAAGGGGTTTCACTCACCTACTCCGCCCGAGACCTGCAGCTGGCGATCCAACGTCCGGGCGATGGACAGGACTTTGTAGGCGGGCAAGTAGGAGGCGACCCAGAATTTAGGGATCCAACTTCAATTAAAGAATACGTTAATTAACTGATGGCATCTGCTTGTGATTCCCTAAAAAGGTAGTAGTTGGATCACACCTTCTCTTTGGTTCATGGTTGACACTCCAACGACAAATCACCAGTCAGCTGCTCAATGGAAGAAGGAACGGGTGAAGCCAACGTGTTCCGAAAAAAAAAAAAAGCCACGACTCTCAGGTGTCTGGGAGAACCTGCTGCGAACCACGGGGTCATGTCGAGATCTAGGTCTACAGGTCTCTTGAAACATCATCTTTGGAAGGACTCTGAAGCAAAAGGAATCCGCCTTTAACCAAAAACACACACATAAACGACCAAAACGCCTGACCAGGTTCCTAGAGTTGCAGTCCATGATTCATTTAAGCAGCATAAGTGTTGCCGGCATCGAAGGCTTCCGCTGGCCCCAGTGGACTGCGACCTGCGTGACGATGCTGCGCAGTCTGCGCCATCATGCCCTGCTGAGCTTGCTGAGCCTGCGGAGCCACTGGGAAGACGTGCTCCAGGGAATGTGCCACGTCACGCGGTGGTGAGGAAGGATGTTGAGGATAATGAGGATGTGCTGGCTGAGGATGATGAGGATGTCTTGGCTGCAAATGATGAGGATGTCCTGGTTGATGATGATGAGGATGTCCAGGCTGTGGATGAGCATGAGGGCCCTGGACATACTTTTCGGGAGCCAGTGCCGTGCGCCTGGCCTGAGCAGCCCATGGCTCGACCGGTCGAGCAGTTCTTCGCATCGAGTCGTGCATCGGTATGTACAAACATAGTGACGCACTCATCCTCCCTGGGTCCTTTGGGATGTTTTTTTGGGGGCTATACCTACAGTATAAAGTTTGGAGTGGTGGGTAAATACCTGGATCCTCCTTTGGGCGGAAAAAAGTGCCGGACCTCAATCCGGCGCCGGACCCTGTAAAAGTGCCGGACTGAAGATCTAGGTATACCCGTTTGGGATCCAGCCGTACCTTCGTGAGGTTCGGTGGAACTGGGCTGGGTGCCAGGAGGGCTCAAATACCTTCTGAGGAGGTACTTGGATCCCTGGGGATAGCTCGTATTTCACTTCAATCTGCAGCATGAGAATTGTGCGACCCTGCGCTCCCCCGCCTCCGCCGCGCACCCGGGAGCCATGTGCTCTGCTGCTGCGGTGTCATCCCGCGTGGGGGAAGCTCGGCGCCGCAAGGGTTGAAGGGAACTGTTGAGGTCGTCCAAGTTGGCCAGGAGATGAGCCATTTCATCCTTCCTGAACCAACAGAGGTAGCCAGTGACCGGAACCCGGAAAACCTGGGGTACCCAACTGGCATAGTCGAACGTTCGGGTTCTCCTCATCTCTGCTGGAAGTGAACGAACTGGACCAAAGCAGGTGTTTTTTGAAAGCTGGGTAGCTGGGAAGCTGGGTGATTTTCATGCCCTGAGCCAACCTGAGTGGCCCTGAGCCAGACTCATGAAATGGCTCACATCTCAAAGTCTCAAACCCACCTGGACCGTCGTGGCCCTCCAAAGTGGCTTCAGAGCATACAACCTGACCCGTAAAACCAGGTACGACTGTACCGATTTTTTCCCAGGTTTGTTAACGGGTACCACACTCCAGGATATATGGCTCAAATCTATGGATGCCCCAAGTCTTTGGGAAACCCATATAGATAAACCTAGCTGGTGCGACTTGTCAACTTTGCCAAAGTTGCTGCTCGACTTCATGGGCGGTCTCGGCCTTCACCTCGGTGGGAGCTGGCGCCTTCTCCAAGTCCATAGGGGCTGGAAGTGGCTCCTTCTGGTGCTCGGTCAGGGAAGCGTTCAAGGAGTCCAACCTGGGTGGAAGAGGTGAGGAAGGTCAGGGGACAGGTGTGGACATAGTAATGCCTAGGGCTCCAACCACATCTTCGAAAGGTAGTTAGACCCCCCTGGCACCCACCCCAACCACCTGCTCAGGAGGTAGTTGGAGCCCTAGGAAATGTAGACTCTGGATTCTGGATCAATAAAACATCTGATGACTAGGTTTTAGAATCCAAATGCAGGGGGTGAGGTAGTTGGAGGAGGTAGTTGATTGAGTTGGCTTGGCTGGCTTGGATTGGTTGTTGGGTGGTTGAACCAGTCTTATCTCTTCCCCGCATTCCGTGGCCCGTCCTCCACGAATCTGTATGAGACAAGTGGGATGCTTCCATTGCCTGTTAAAAGACAAAAGAAACACAAGACTTCGGATGTAATGAAGGGACCTGAGTCTCCCTGAGACTTTGTAAAGAAACACAAGACTTCAGACCGAACCTGTAATGAACCTCAAGACTTCGGTCCTGAATTTGGATCCATATCTTGAGTCCCCTGCCACTTCTTCGAACCCTCTTGCACGCGCACGCTAGCTGCGCACGTCAGTGTTGCAGTTGGATTGACTGCAAGCAGGGCAACTTGCTGGGACAGTTGCAATCGGATGCTCACTCCTACAGAGATCATAAAAGGTGACACGTTCAACGTTCTTGAGTTGCTGTGTTTGCAGCTTCTTCACGACTCTCCACCAGCTTGGACGTTCGACTCTCCACGCTATTGAGGCTATTTAGGCATATATGTAGGCCAAATAGGTTACCTGCTGTTTCAGCAAGTTGCTTGGGATCACTATATATGTCTCGGGATGGCCAATTCATAGTTCAGTAGATTGTGGGGGATGCGCCAAGACACTTGACAAGTATACAAGTACACCAGGAGTCACAAAGGGGTGGTGTTTGGTCCCTAAGTGAGTGGATCATGGGCACCCTAACCTCCATTAAGCACACCTTTGTGACTGCTGGCAGTGATGCTTTCATATAAACATATATAGATAACATATGATAAAGTAGAATCATCAGTCAAAGGGGTCCGGTAGGGTCAAATTTGTTAAATATAGCCTGTATTAGCCTGTGAAGTCTGCAATTCATGAGTCTGTCCTAATCCTCGAACGGGCCAAAGGCTGTACACTGTAGACATTGGATGCTACATCCACATCATTCTTCTTTGGGGCCTGCAGTCTACAGCCTCCCAAGGCTCTCGGACAACAGGAGCCCCCGATGCAGCTCGGCCGCTCTTTCGCCAAGCGCTGCAGCTCGCTCAACTCCTCGGGCGCCTCCGGCGCTTCCGCCGGCGGAGGCGCTTCCGCCGGCGCTTCGGCCTCGAGGGATTGGCTGAGCTAAAGTATGTTGGGAAGGAACCGGTGAAAAGAGATGAACTCCAGAACATGCGAATGAAATTGTTCCCCCCCCCCGCAAATGGGAACGCTCCTGATCGTTGTGATGATTTTGTGTTTTTGTAACACCCCTGGAGATTTTAAAGCCGTTCAAAGGGAAGTTCTGCTGGGTGGCAGTGGATTCTTACGCACGTCTCGATGGGGTCGCCCGACTCAGATCCCCAACATGACCAACTGAATGTAACTTCACTTTTTCAGATCCCCCTCCTCCACCCCCTCCCCACAGATCTATGCCAAAAAGGGGTATCCGATCTAAGCACCATTAGGGACGCGTGTTTCATGGGGTGTCTCGGTATCTTCGGCCTCTCAACAGCGCCGGGCTCGCCTGGAGTCTTCAGCACGAAAGAGATCTTGGATCGTTGATGTATTTTAGCACCGGCTGTTCAAACGGCTTTCTTTAAAAAGAATAAACAGTGGGTGAACTCCACTTTTATTTTTGGTGTTCCTTGCTATGATAACACTTGGCCTTAGAAATGCTTAGACTTCTGCCTTCACGTGTAGTCTTGGGGCGGGTCGCTCAATCTATCGCTTGGAGCTGGGGGAACTGTCAGTAGCTCCGAGTCACCCACTCCCTGAATGGGGAAGAACTAGAGATCCCCCCTAGCTCCAGGGGTACAGGATCGCAGCAGCTAGCAATCCTATTCCCCGGACATCCCAAATTCATCTCTAAGAGGCACGGCGATTTTTTCGACCCCCCGACAGGCTCCTGGTTGAGTCATCAATCACCTCGTCCATGTGAGGGTTCTCTCCACAACCTCGGTCCGGTGGCGCCCCACCTGCAACGTGGCCGCAAACGGCCGCGCCCGTGGGGGCTCGTTCCGCGGCTCGTTCCGCGCGTCCAGGGGGCGCAGGATCTGCGTGAGAACGCAAGCGACCTGAGCGACCAAGGCACTCTCCCGAGATGGATCCGACTCTTAAGGCCACCCAAGAAGATGGGAAACACACCGAAACAAGTGTTTATGATCCAACAGGTATACCGGCCTCTGACTTCGTTGGTACCCTGGAAAAAAGGGATATATGAACAAGTAGGATATATCACCCCTAGACTTCCAAGGTCCAAGAAAAAAATGGTTGAACTGTTTTTGTGTAGTGAAACAACCCTTAGTTGATTCGGGATTCAGCCTATTCAAATGAGTTGTTGGAAGCCTAGGCCGGGTCATCGTTGCACCGTTCAGAGCTACGAACTGACCCCGATCCGGGCAGGTACGGCGCCGTACCCGTTCCGGAACCACTCCACCGGGGGGATCGGGGCCTCCGACCTGATAGCTGGAGACAGTGACAGGGAGGTTTCAAGGCTTGAAGGCCCTACGATCTTCCAACTATCCCAGACACCACTCCATGGGAACGGCATACTTACAAACAGGGGAGTGGGGTGGTTAGATACATACGGAGTGCGAGGTACGTATGCCAGTCCCATGGAGTGTCTGGGTATGTCATAATTTGCGCCTGTTCATCGATAAAACCAGCCAAGTTCGGCAGAACATTTGGATATAGTTATATATATATATATATACCTAGAACCTGAGTGACCTCTATTTTGGACCACCAACCACCCAAAATATGGTCTTTTCCTATCAAAACAAAGGTCAAATCGGTTCTAGGTATATATAAGATTCATGATCCATGGTATGAGATCCTTCCTGCCCATGGCCGAACTCAAACAGCGGCTTTGATCATCCATCAGTGCCAACAAAAACCGTCATGCAAATCAATGAGCTCAGAGAAGACCATAACCTATGCGTATACCTATACGTGTCCTTCTAAACCAGAAGGTTGCAGGGTCGAAGGGGCTCCTCACGATGTCCTTGAACACATACAAAAAGATCAGAAACATAGAGATATCGACTTCTTCCAGGCCAAAGCCACATATCCTTGAAACTCCAGGGGCGTCAATCCTCCGCACAACAAACCGACGGTTCGAACGTCGGCCGCTCTCGCGACGGCGGAGTGCCGTGGCCATTCCGCCTGTTCACGGTTGTGCTTTTAGAGGGTCGACGTCGATTCACTAGAGCCTAGAGCTTCAAACCCTAGGCTTCCGGGCCCACCATTAATAGGCGGGTCATCCCGAATCAACTAAGAATTTTACACTACAAACACCAGGTCGTTCCCATTTATTGGTTGGGGGTCTTGGAAGTCGAACGGGTCAGCTGGAACTCAAGCAAATCTTAAAGATGGGTACGGTCTTTTGCCGGTGAAAGCTACGAAGCTGTAGGATCATCTTGTGAGAACACCTCGAGTTGGACCATGCTGATCCAGGGATGTTGGAGCCCTGAGGGCCCCAGTATAGATTTCAGTGGCGGTGTCCCCCTCATCCATACGTCATGGGGGATGGGGGGGGGGCTGAGGGGGGGGGGCTATGGACCTTATGCCCAAGGCCTTTTTAGAGAATGACTAAGCTATCAATTATATAACATCAAATAACTATCAGATCAGCCCCCTTCCTGCAGGCCCTCCAAAACAAACATGTGCACGTTTTTTGCCGTTGCGGATTTTGACCATTCGACAGCTCAGCAAATGTTGTTGCTCACAATGTTGTTTGGTGGAAGGAAAGAGGAATTGAATTCAGGTTGTCCAGTTGGTATGGGCTGATCATGGCTGATCTATCAGCCAATGAATCATTAATCAATTTGGGAACCTTTTGAGGCACCAAAATCGATAACTTTTGAGGGCACTGGCTAATTTCTGGATAAGACCTCGATAAGCCTTGGATAAGGGGGAATCTGCAAGGCAGGAGGTTTTTAGGGTAACCCATGGATAAGCCCTGAATAGCTTGTCCAGAAGACTTTTGGTGAGGCCAGGAATGCCACCAAAGGAGCCCTCAAATTGAACCCCACAAAAGGCCTAAGCACTAGCTTTTGAACTTCTGGTGGTAGATTCTGGACACACACATATATATATATATACAGTATATCTTACCTATAAATTTCATGATTGATGAAACCCTCAATCGATTGTCAAAGAACAGTCACCGGCTTTTTGGAGCCAGGGCCCCGAAAGGAACGGCGGCCAAATCGAGCGGAGCCGATGGATGAAAACATCGGGTTGGGATTGGGCGGTCTCATTGGATAAGCTATCCTATGTCTATCCAAGGCCAATAAGACTTTATTAGGGTCTTATTGCTAAGACCTTATTAAAGGCCATTTCCATGGTGGTTAAAGCCTATTAAAACCTTAATAGCGCTGCTATTAATAATTATTAGAAGCTTAATAAGAATGCACACTGTTTGCACACTATCAATGAGCAAACCCTAAGCACCATAGCCCCCCCCTCAGCCCCCCCCAACCCCCGTGAATACGTTCATTACACTTTTGGCCTGCACTGAAACCATACATCTTTCCAATATAGTCCAATCTCCCCCAACAAAAAGAAACTGCCAGCAGAGGTTGAAGAACCCGAACTAGACTATCCGAATCCTATAGGTAATGCAGGTGACAGGTCCTACAAGGTCACTTAACCTCTGTTGGTGGGTCGGTTGGAGCACACTCCAACCACTCCCCCAGCCTGGACGTTCGGCAAAGCTGGAGTAGACCTCCCCGATGCGCTCCTGGGCTTCAACGGTCGGTAGCAGCTGAGCATGCAACCCTAGGGATCCAAGTACCTTCTCAGAAGGTGATTGGAGGCAGGTTTGTAATGTCCAAGTACCTTCTGAGAAGGTAGTTGGATCGCTAGGGTAATAAAACTGCGTGTGAGCAGCTGTAGCTCTGCCCTGAGCCGGTTGCCCCGGTGTGTGCCCCATGCCTGGTAGCTGTGCTTGTAGCTATCCAGTTTAGCATAGACCTGTGACAAATGTTTCATAGAAACAACCCCCAAACATGGATTGTAAAACCTCTATGGCCGGGGTCTTATTAATAAAACACCCATTATTCTACTTGACGTCCTTGGGAAACAGGCCTCGAAGGTTCATTCGAGATCATTGGACATTTGATCCTTCACTCCAGCTTTTATCCAGTTGGTGAACACCTAAGGGTGCTTCACTGATCTTCCCTGTATGCTTTCAGGGACTGATCTTCCACCTCTGGAACTAGAACCCATTTGACATCATTTGACCATCTTTGACCTCCTTCTTAGGAAAAGGCTCGCCATCGTCGACTCGGACCGTCCGACGGACACTCCGTCGGTCCAAGGCGCTAAGGTCTGCGGGTCCCGGCAGCGCAGCCGGTCGATCAACTGTTGCGTCAGGGGCTGCAGGGACTCGGCGGGGACGAAGGCCTCATGCTGCAGGGACTCCGCCGTCGTCTGCGATGGATTCGGAGGCCTCGGCCTGGGAGCGAGAAAACCTCCTGATGCTGTTGGCCTGGTCTGGATTCACCTGCCCTTTGCTTCCCCCCAAAAAGGTGGCGGGAACGGTCCAAAAGATTTCCTCAAAGTGCCGGGCCCCTCAAACTCAGCAGCCGAAAAATCCGAGAGGTGGGCGAGTATATGTTTGGATGGCCTGTCATCCAAAAAGGTCGTGGCATGACTCTTTGATGAATAACTGAACAACCACCTCAAACATGGATATCGAATCACTTTCTTCATATTACATAAGGTCGAAGTGTCATCAAGAGTCTAAGGCCCATGGCTTTACCAGCTTGCGAATCTTGGGTGTAGAGCCTCCAATCCATCAATTTCCCCATGTGAAGATTTTGAAGAATCCATGCGATGCTTCAATTTCACAAGTGGAAGCGCAGTAGAGGCCCCTGCAATGCAGGAACATTCTCCCATCTTTGCTCACCACGGCTCCTCCAAAATCACCAAACCACCTGGATCCGACTTCAAGTACCCTAGAAAATGGAACATGACATGACCCCAACAAAAAACTGGTGCTTTAAACTACCCCCTTTTCCGGTGCACTATTGAGACTCCAGGCACCCATGACCCCAAAACCCCCACTTTCATTTCACCACCCTTTTCACTCCCACATGCTGCACTCCTCGGCCGCCTGGCGCCCCCGGCCTCGTCGCAAAGACTGCCACAGACATCGGCCAAAGCCTGGAATCGGAGGCCATTGGGGGCATGGACTGGCACCTGAAGCACCTGAAGCCTAGGGATCCAGTCGTACCTTCTCAGAAGGTGAGACTGGGGTGGGTTTGGGTCCAGGTGCCTTGGATTTGTAACCTGTTCGTAGAAAATGGGTCACTTACCACCTTCCCAGTGACCTCTTCAGGAGTGGTATACGTGACCTGTTCCAGGCCTTCTCGCGACTGAAAATCCTGGGATATCAAAGGGTCACGTACTGAAGGTGCTGGTAGATGGTACGTTTGTACCTGCTCTTTTTGTGCGGGTCATGTCCCATTGAACTATGGGTGCGAGCGAAGCTGGGGTCCAGGTTTGAACCGGGTCACGTGGCATCTTCCGTTCTACGCAGCGACCAAGGACCTTCTGCAAATGTACGGCTTTTGGGTTGATGATGGACTTGGGTTTGATCAAAGAGCTGGAAAGAAATAAACATGTCCACCAGGAAGGGATCGTCCAATAGGCTAAAGTAAACAATCACCTTAAGCCTTAAGCAAAAACAGCTGGACCTCGGGGTTGGTCTCATCCGATCTGGAAATGGTCATCAGCTAACTAGGCAAGGTCTACCTGATCTGGCCCCATTTGAGGCCTTACATTCAGTCTTTGTCCACCATCATCCAAGGATCTGGAACAATGAACAGCTGTCACGGGGCCCTCCATGAATCATAATACTTCACAAGAAGAAACAAAGAAGCCATTCGTGGACTATCGCAAGAATGCTCCCATGCAAATAGGTGCGCATGAGAATCGGGGAACAGGTGTGAAATCGAAGGTGCTGGAATTGTCTTGTATGGCTCATGGTCGGTGAACAGTGGGTGCTGAGACTTTGTGCCCTGCACTGAAGAACCAGCTGTGCGGCCATCCAGCCTTCTCATTTTGAAGCAATCCGCGCAGGAACTGATGCCTGCGACAAGCGCAGGAATGACCTTCCAAGAGCTAAATGACAAGCTGCTTACCCGAGAGTCAATTGACATATACTTGTGTACTATATATATATATATCTGGAACGGCAAAAGGACACATCAACAACGAACGAAGTCAAATACATCTTTGCAAGCTTCACCTTTCTATAGTACAATCTTTGATGGATTCAATCGCCCTCACTGACAAGTGAACAGATTGAGAAGTTGCCCACCACGCGGGTCGCCAAGTGCCAAACGCTTTTCTCCGAGGTGCAACTCTTCCTCGCTGACACCTCCTTCGGGTACTCCAATATCTCTGGGCCTTTCCAGCTCGCTACCGCCGTTTCCTGGGCGCAAAAAAAGGGGACAACACCAGGAAAAGCCGGAAGTGGAGATTCTTGACAGCAAAGGTATAGGGTCAGTTGATGAGAGAACCAACGGCAGATTGAGCAGAATCAACACGCTCACCCTGCTGAGAAAGCTCAATCTTCCGAATCTTCTTCACGTTGCTTGCTGCCTTAAGGTTCCGCTTGTGCAGGTGACTTTGTTAGGATTCTCCAGAAAGGCATAAGGTCGTATCACACGGTCGTTTTGGAGATCTCTTATCAAACAACCCTCACACAAAGTGTGATGAGACTGCCTCGTTCACGACGGATGCCCGTTCGGTCAGCTCGAACACCAGTGCGGAAAAAACGTCTTGCTTGTACCAATCCCAGCCCAAACACTCCATGAGTACTGAACCCTAGGGCTCCAACCACCTTCTCAGAAGGTAGTTAGACCCCCCTGGCACCCACCCCAACCACCTTCTCAGGTAGTTGGAGCCCTAGGGGAAGAACACTCCTTTATTGACCCCCGTTTATTGACCCTCACCGCGTTTGGTAGATCGATTCCTGGAGCGTTACTGAGCCCCACCGTAGGTATCCGAAACAGGCATGGCAATTCTGCCGGACAAACATGGCTGCCGTTTCAACAGCAAAGCGAAAGAAGAGGGTATCTCAAGTGGGGATCAAAGGAAAACCATTCCAACGTAGATAGAACAATCATGAATCATGTCCACAAACATCGGAGAAATGGTCGTCCCTTCCCGGCTATTGCTCAAAAAAACAATCCAAAGCAACAAAAAATGGCGGCAAACATGTATCCCTTTGCAATTCCTGGTGTCCCATCAGCCACGGCAGCACAACACCAGTCTGTCACGTTGGCTCATCGCAGAATTTGGTGAAACATAGTGCCTCTTCCCAATCTGCTGCGTGGTTTGGGTTGCTTCCCTTAAGGCCTTGCTGACAGCTGCTCATGGAAAGCTGACTCATGTCCTTGAAGTTGCTTTTCTGTGAAGACCCCGTGCTAGCCAGAAAGGAGCAGCTTCAACAGTCTGATGGCTGTTTGAACGACACATCTGACTGTCATCGGAAACAAGCACTAGGACATCGGAACATCACAGCAGCACAAACATCGGAAGGAACAGCTTTAATGTACTGCGTACTGCTGGTGTGTGTGCTGCTGTGAAACACCTATGGATTCATGTGTTCATAACACCTATGGATTTGCCCTGTGAAGCCATCTTGAGTCATCTTGTACTTCATAACACCTATGGATTTGCCCTGTACTGACAGTTTGCTGCAAGATCACTGCCGATGACTTGCTGGTCTAGATCCCGTGAGTGGTCGTTCTCGCGGTGCGGACCCAAACACCGCAGTTGCTGCGGATGTTCGGAGAATCCAGCGGGGAAACCGGCAGTGGCGAAACCGGCGGCGGTTTCGTGGTGACTGAGGATGTCGACCAATGTGACTCCGACATCTGACGATCTCTGACTCCAACATCAGCTAAGGTCATGTCACAAGCTCTAAACATGTGCAAACTGCTAACCCAATAATTCAATAGCAGACCATGCAAACCATCAGCACCAGTCAAACCGAACCGTTCACCTCAGTCCATCCAGTCCCCCCTGGTGAGTGCGAGAAAAGAACAACGGCCCTATTGTTCTCGTGTGGGATGCAAGTGCTGTGGAGCCTACATAGGCATGTCCGGTTTGCTGGTAGATGTGGCGTGTGGCGTGTGGATTGAAGTGGAGCTTGTTTCCCAAAACAGGTGTTCACATACCAAAACCATGTGTCTTGCCAGGAATGCTGCCGCGACGTGTCGCCGGTGCGAGCTTCTCTTCCCCGGGTTGTGTCGATGACGTTCCTGAAGCCCGACAGCGATCGACGCACTTCGTGCCTCCCTGAAACAATCATGGAAGTGGACAGTGGCCCCTTGGAAGACTACTTTCCTCTACCAAGACGGGTTGTCCACTTCCATGATTGTTGGGAGGCTAGTGCCTCCAGAAGCCAAATCAACCTCCGGCTCCAGTCGTAGTAACTCATGACACTTTCGGTTCGGCAGCTTCCGCAGATCGACGGAGGGTCCAGTCGTCTGAAGTCGGTCTGGTTCCTCACGTCTGGTTCGTCTCGTCTCGACCAGCATGGCATCTGCTCTAGACATGTTTTCTCTAGACAAAAATGGGAAATGCATACCCTGAATTGTCTCAGTTGACCGCCAGCCCAATATATAGACCCATTTTGGGGAACTGTACCTCCCATCCACCTATACTTGGGGGGTCACCCCCAAAAGTAAGCAATTACATGCGATTACCAACCCGCTGCCTGGCGAAGCCCTCGAACGCGCACCTGAGCCACGCTTTCCTCGGACTTTATGGCGCCTGACATATTGAAGCCAGCTTCAACCCTAGGATTCAAAGCACCATTGGTTGAATGGTCTGAATTCCAAAGAACTATATATAGTTTAATAGATTTTGGACACTACATCACCAGGTCTGTCCCATTCTTGTAATATCTTGTAATGGTCTTTGAAGGCTAGGGCCTCTGTGGCAGGAAGAAGTCTTTCAAACATGCCTCTGTGGGTGTGGGCCCACAACCTTGGGACCATGGTACATGGAGGGTGCCGCGTTCGACTCACCGTCCGACCCACACCAGATCGGTTGGATCATGCAGGAACTCTGAGGAGCTTCACAGCAAAGCAGCTCTGGGCTCGTTCGACGATCCCTGCTCTCTCACACCGGTGAGTGATTCTTCAACCAGTTCCCAATTCCATCCAATTCCTCCGTGGCAGGTCGTCCAGTCGGCGCTCCGAAGGCGGCCCCTTCTTTTGGGCGCTCCGAAGGCGGCCCGCGGTCGCAGGTCGTCCAGTACTTTGTGACGTCCGCGGAGCGGGCGACGCCGGCTTCCTGCGGCTGGGCTGGGCTGCTGCAGTGCCCCGGTTTCACATGGTTTCACTTCTGAATTGGTGGCCAACCCAAATGCTTTTGGAGAGGGCCCAAGGTGATACCAGCACTCTCAGCTACCCATGCAAGTATAGGTACAGTTCGGTACAAGCCTCTTCCTCACGGTCCTGGACTTTTTGAAGGTCTTGGAGACATGTGGAGGCATTTTTGAAGGTCTGTCCTGGACTTGTGAAAGACTTCTTGGAGGCATTTGGGGGCCTGTTAGACTGTTAGACCTCCCAGCCACCACCACATCCCTTCCAAGGCAACTGGCCCTCGAGTCAGTCACCTTCACCGAAAGGGGAACAGTTTTTCAGGAGCCAGGCCACAGATCCACACGTGGTCTGAGACCCAAACCATCCACGCAGTTCCATGGATTTTCAAAAAAAAAAAAACATCCATCAATCTAGGGATCCTAAACCCTATAAACGCTGCTGAAATGGAAGCAACACACCCACATACACCCACGTCCACCGTCCGCGTGTGAACTGAGGGGACCGACCTCCAAGTCTCACCGGCCTAGTCGATGTCCACCACGATCGCGGTGATATCGTCCTGACCGCGCCCACGGAAAGCCGCCGCGCGAGCAGAGGTCGGTCGGTCTTGCGAAGCCAAGGGGGAAAAAACCAAGATTTGTCAATTCAGCTATATATATATCGATAGCAGTATCAATAGCTGACCAAATCATTAATAAACATCTTAAATTAGGAATTGCTATAGGTATATTGTTAGGTCTGCTGGTGTCAGGTTTCGACATTTACGAAGCATATATAGTCTTTCCACCCCCTTAACAGCACCTCTCAAGGTCTCGGTGCCCCTCCCATCTTCTGCCCCCCCGAACCCGAACGGACGGATGGGAACGAAGGAAGCCGAGTGCTGAAGCTGAACGAAGCCGAAGCCGAAGCCGAAGGTCGCGTGCGGTCGCGTGAAGGCGCTGGCAACATGAAGCAACACGTGGTGACCGAACGGACAAGCTATATAAGATTATATAAGCGCGCGCCCCAATCCTCCAAAGTTGGGTGACCTGCAGGCGATCCACGTACCTTCCTGAACAGGTGACTCCAAAAGGTTGGGTGACCTGCAGGACCATCTAAGACCATCTAAGTTCGCTGGCGGTTCACCTAAGATGGATGGGTCACTTTCAGGTATAAACCCTAGGGCTCCTGGCCCACCTCCGTTTCGAATGTGGTTGGGGTGGGTGCCAGGGGGGTCTGACTACCTTCTGAGAAGGTGGTTGGAGCCCTAGGGAAGTGTCCTACAAAGGTATATAACTCTGATCGAGCTAACATGAGATGCTCTGAGTACGTCGCGGCCCGCCGCGCGGCCGGAAACAGCTCCGGCGGTCCAGCTCCGGCGTCTCAGCCTGCCAAGCCTCTTGAGCATGTCTCACCTGTGGGGATGGCAAGCGAACGAAGCGAGAGGGCCAAAAAGCAATGGCCACTAAGTGGCAAGAAGCTACTAGGTGGAGACCATCGCTATTAGGTTGGAGGCCATTACTACTATTGTAGTAACAATTCTTAAGAAGCTACGTAAGTAGCAAGAAGCCCGGGCAGCCCGGGTAGTTCTCCCTAAGGGTCCAGGACCATCCGAATCAAACGTCCTGCGTGCGATTTGGCCCCAGGCCACGACCATTCTCTGCAAGCATGAACTCACATCCGTTCGACCATCCGAAGTACAAAGGTTCCTGGACCCTATGGGTATTGTCCCTAGTGCTCCAACCATATCCTCAGAAGGTGGTTAGACTGTTCGACCGCCCTGGCACCCACCCCAACCATCTTCTCACTCAAGACTACCGCAGCTGCGACCTTCTTGGACACACGCTCCTAAGCCTCAAGACTACCGCAGGAGACCTCCCTCTTGAAATGCACACCTGCTTGGAAACACGCTCCAGCCACCTGGCTCGCATCCAAATTCGAAGCGGTTTTGGACAGTCCAAGTGGCCAGCATCTCTGCAGCTGTCTGTGGGCCTTGGCCTCGGCTGGAGGTGACTCGAATGGCCAAGTGAAGTGACCAATGAATGCCACCCTCAAAAGTAAGGCAACACTCCCATCCATGTAAGCTGCCCATCACTAATCACAAAGGGGGCTTGATGAATCAATCCCATCAATGTTATTGAGGCTTCTCTCAAAAAACCGTCCCAAGGGCTCCTGGCCCACCTCCGTTTCGAAGGTGGGGCTGAGGACCCGGGTCCCTACCTGAGAAGGTGGGGCAGGAGGTCTAGGGAGTGTAGACTCAGTTTGTTAGAGTTCACCCCCCAACAAAAACCCATAGGCTTAGAGACCCATAGGCTTGGGTCTCAGAGGCTTTTCTCATTCCATGACCCATAGGCTTAGAGTTCACCCTCCCAACCAAAACGAGCCGACCTGGGGCATGGCACCTGGAGCCTCCACCAGATCAGCGGTCTTCACTGTACCTTCCACCAGGTCCTCTAACCGGTCGGTCTCCTGGTGCCATGATGTTGCTTTAGACATCTTTAGACTTATCATATGGGGGGTTGAAATCCAATCAAGAGTCTACATTACACCCCAAAAAACACCAGAAACCCTAAAGAAAACACTGTTCCAAGCAGCCCTTGCGCAGGCAGCGGCCCACCAACGTCGCTGCCTCCTCCGCCGTGGTGAAGTCACCTACCTGAGCCACGCGATGTTGGCAGCTGGACCCGATCTGCCAAGTTTGGGTCAAACATGGAGACTGCAAACTACCAAACAGGTACCAAACACCTCAAAGTAATTTATATATATATTACAGATATATATATATACACTATCCTGACTGATCTAGATAATCTTACATAGACTATACGCGGATCCCATGGGCCCCCAAAAAAACCACTCCAGACTCCACACCCATTGCTCCTCACCACTCGAACACCACCCTCCCGGGTCCGCAGAAACCCCCCTGAAACAGCGCCAGCCCTCGAGAAAGACCATGTGCCTTTAGAAGCCATGGTGGTCACAGGGAGGATAACATACCAACACCGTAGTATACGGTTGTTATGGGTGTTGTGTGTTACATGCAAGTATTGCATGTGTACTATAGTTTGATATCGTGGGTAGCATGTGGGGTAACATCTAGGGCCTCCCAATACTCGCATGGCATATTCACCTGTACATTGAGGCTGTTATTGTATACATCGAGCGTCTGTGACTCTTATCTTCTTGCTGATGCATTGCCTTCTATGAGAGAGCACTTTTTCTTCAAGTGACCTTTTCATCCTTTTCATCAATTCGATTAGCTTCTCCGGAAACGGTCCAAACTCTTGCCAGGGTGCACCATCAGAGGCCACGACCAGGAACCTTGGAATCTCCAACCAGCGCCAAGCCCGGTGATTTCCAGAATCCTTTGAACCCTACAACTCCACAGGTTCGGTGGTTAGACCCCCCGAAATACACTTTCCACCAACGAACATGACCCCCCGCAGGTTTCCACTCTCGATGGTATCATATGGGTCCTGATCTGTCCTCCGATATCGGTCCTGATCTGCAGTCCCTTGAGGGCTCCTAGGGTTCCCCATACCAAGGAGCAGCGAACCCCCAAAGTCTTTTTTTGTTTGAGAAGTGAGGAGTCAATCATGATTTTCTGTTGGGGCGCTCATTGTTTTAAGACGGATATGCCAGTAAGAAGACGCTCTTGAACTAAAAAAGACCTTCCAAGTTCGGTGGTTTTGGGACACTCCGAATCACCCCCAAGAGGCTATTGACCAAAAGTCCTCTATACTGTTCCCTTTGATTCTATCCCTTGGGCCCTTGGGTATATCCTAATGCCTGTAACAATGATGATGGGGCCTGGTGGCAGGCCTTTCTCTAAAATAGTGATAATTCACCGACTGTTACAGGTCAGAACGGACAACCCCCATCTATCTCATCTGTTGGGCACCCTTCGTTGCGCACGGCCAAGCACACCCATCTGCGCACGGAATCAAAGGGGAGAAGGTGAAAGGAGCTTCAACCGCCAAACTATCTATTGGGTTCGGACATTGATATGTGTCTCCCAAACCGCAACGTTCCTGAACAAACTCAAAGGAACACGCGCTTGTGCAACGGAAAGTATGCTCCATTTCCGGTGCATAAGCGAGAAAAACAACAGTGCACAAGCGAGTGCTTGTCCGCACAAAGCAACCTCTGCTTTCAACCGAAGACAACTCACGCTTTGGGGATAGATGTTGCCATCATGGCTTTGGTGGATGGCATGGCCATGATAGACCCAGGTTGATCCTCAAACCAAACAAATGTCCCCAATCAGTGACCATACCAACATATACCAATCATACCCTATCTTTGGGGGGACCAGCATAGTTTATGTGGGGCCGGCATGGCCCCAACGACGATTCGTCCTTATACCAAACAGGGAGGTGCCCACTTGTTTGCGGGAGGGAGGGTATACGACTTCCGACCCAGCGGCTGCGGCTTGTGCTCCTCTTCGCCTTTGACGGCGTCCAGAAACACCGTGCCTGCACCGTTTTTGCACGACGACACGCCGAACGTCCAAGATCGTCCAAGTGAGAGGCTTTTGTGTGACCTTGTAGGACCCGTTAGGACCCGTCACCTGAGGTACCCAACTGGGAGAGTCGAACAGTCGGGTCCTGCAACCTCTGTTGGCATGGCAACATCTGGAGGGGACAGTCACACATTGTAGATACAGCGGTGCCGAACTTGGGGTCGGGTAGGGGTACCCCTGTCACGTCCAGTATGATCCACTCACTTGGGGTCACTGGTTCTCATGGATTTGCTTTATTCAGGCACCTGGAAAGAATAACACATTCCCCAGGTGCTTGGATTCAACCAGTTCGGGAAGCGCCTCAAATCCACCAAACCAGGTCCATGCATTCCTTCTTCATCCCAAGGCACTCACATCGGGCACGTCAGAGACGCCCACTTGGTGGAGCTTGGCATCTCCCAAAGACCGGGACATGTTGAGGCCCACATAAGGCCATTCGTCCAAATACCTCAGAGGCTGCCAACGAAAACACCCAGGGAGCTGGGTTTGTTCTGGCCCCCTTTCACCCCCAAAAAACATCTGCAAGCTGCCAGGAATGCTTTCATGATATGATCTTTCATGGGTGGTCAGGGTGCGTTTGCGAGGTTTACGAACCGTTAGCCGGAACAAACAACAACAGGTCAATGCGTGTGGAAGAAACTCTCCACCAAATGCCCCAAAAACCAAGTGTGCATGGCCTGAACTTCCCCGTTCAAGTGGTTAAGGACTTTTTGCAACAACATTTGCAGCACTATTGCTGAACAAGCCTTCCTGCACTACAGTAGCAAAGTGATGCCAGCCTACACTACAGCAGAATGGGGTCCTTTCACCACAACTTACGATCAATTCACTTCACTTGTTATTGTCTTCTCCTCCCACTAAATATTGGGGAAACACACATGTCACATGTCACATGAATTCTTGAATTCTCGGAGCCCTTCCAATACATAACCTCCCCCTACCCAGGCGATCCAGGCAAAATCCTTCGTAGGTAACCAGTGGAATCCACTGGGTACATGAAGACTTCAGGTTCTTCGCTCAAGAGGAACTGCTTTCGAAGGTCACCTCCCAACCTCTCCGAGGCGCACGCGCTGGCGGGCGACAATACCACCCTGTGCTTCGATTCGTACACGCTCATCGGGGTCCTGTGGCCGGTTCAAGGACGGATGCGTTGATGGACACCATTGAAACCGAACGAACTCCACCTGTTGGTTTGGAGTGAGGTTTTCCCCAATATGCCAATCCTGACCTGAAGGGTGACCTGAAAGAAACTCCATGGTTTCAGTCTGCCAGACTCTCAAGACGTTCTCTCCAGACTCTCGAGACATCTCACGACAAACACATCGGGACGTGAGTTCGGTTCGGAGGAGTCCCCGACTCCTGTCATCAACGGTGAAAATCACTGCAGGAAACCCAATGCCTTTCGGCGTTCGTCATGCCGCTGTCAACGTCCACAGAGAACGGATTTGAGAGGAGGTCCCGTTCATTCGCTTCTCAGGGTCGTCACAAATGCACATCATCTAGCTAGATGGGGTCAATGAAGCACTGGTCCTTGCTGCGTAAATATCTATCTTCTCTGAAGGCAAGGCGTATTCACCCCGTTTCAGTCTCTTGCCGGGATCTTCGAGGTATCCATGGGCATGATCAAGCTTGAACATGCTGAAGAGCAAAAGAACCACCAGCATGTTGGCGTGTCATTTTCAAGCAGCCACCGGTTGTCCAACTGGGTGCGCTCAAAACTCAACACCCCAAGTCCTGGAACCACGGTAAATAGATGTAAATAGAACATTCCCCAGGTACACTATGCACGGCTGAGGGTAGATGCACGTGGTCAGGTGTAGAATCAGGTCTTGGCCAAATGGAGAGGCATAGACGATCGATCTATACATGAAATTAACTAAATGAATAAGACCTTGTGCTTATCTCAGAACTCATCCGCGTGCTTTTATCTCGCAAAGGCTTCGTAGATGTCTGGCCATTGAGATCGCTGGCATGCTTCCCCAATTGGGGGGAGCACCGCTCCGGAGCCCCGAAGCTCAAAACGGCTGGCTAACACCCTTGAACCCTTACAACATCGCAGCGTCGGCAGCCAGGCTAGGCTAAGGACCCTGACGAAACACGGTCAGACGCATGGGGACGGTCAAACGCCCCGAAGGCGGCGGCGAGAGCACCGCAGCTCCTCGGGCTTGTGGTCTCTGGTGAGGAGGCGATAGTCCACAGACTTGCTCGAAGACAAGGTGCCCAGGACTAACCTGGTGCCGTGGCCGCCGGTTGGAGCGAAAGAGGAACCCTACAAGTCCAGTCTGACCCAGTAAAACCTGGTCTTTATACCTCATTAAGTAGTGTTTTTTGTATGACCACGTCCAGTAAAATGAGGTAATTGACCTGTAGGGGAAATCACAGCTGAATCACCTATTAAACGAGCCGCAAAAAGGACGGGCTCCGGAACTACATCCTCAAAAGGTAGCAACCGACAGAAACACTGCTCCAGTGACAAGGTATTACACTAGCAAAAGATCCGAGGTTTTTGGTGTCCCAGACGCTCCAAACAGCCCTTGGTCCCTCAAAACCTAGGGGTTTGAGACCCCAGACCCCTCCATATGAGGGCCCATGAGGTTTTTGGTGTTGTGATTTCATCGATCGCACCTGCCAAAACTCTGATGCGACACGCAATCCGGACACCCTCGTTCTCGCTCGGCCTGGAATCGCCGATGTTCGCCGTGTGAAGCAAACCCCGAGCGCCGAGCGCAAAGGTGCAGGTGGCGCCGCTGTAGCTGCGGGGGCCCCAGCCCGAGGAGGAGGCCTTCCTAACAAGAAGGAGAACGGAAAAGATAAGTCACTGTTTGAAGGATTTGAGCAAGGCATTGGTTCATTTTTCTTTGAGATCTGCTTCAAACTTGTAGTTTATTCTGGCATATCTCCTGGCAATGGGACGATGGGTGTAGCCTTTGATCTCCAAAGACTTCTGCATGGTTGTTGGTATAGTTCTGACTACAGGATCATGTCTACTTCTACACAGCTCAAGGGGACAGCTCAGGGACTAGCTCAGGGAGGATCACCTTCAGGCCGTGCCAAAGGGTGCTGACCAGGAAATATGTGCAAAAGACTTGCTTCCTCAATAACCCTAGGGCTCCAACCACCTCCTGAGAAGGTGGGTGGGGTGGGTGCCAGAGGGGTCTAACTACCGAACCTGAGAAGGTGGTTGGAGCCCTAGGGTAAAAATCATCCAGCGGATCTACAAATTAACCCCTTCCAGTTGTGGGTCATGTTCCCCAAAAGCCCCAACCCCTCAATCACCCCTTCCAAAACGTAAAGGCTCTCTTCCAGCTCCTCCCTACCAAGCCTACCCTTCCTCGAACTGGGGACGTTGGTGGATCCACGGTCTAGGCACTGCATCAAAGTCCCCATCTTCTCGAACGCCGCCTCGATGGCTGAGAAGACCTCAGCACTGCACCGGGCTGCGGTCCCTGGGCCGAGTTCAATCGGCGGTGAAAGCCGAAGTGGAGCCGATTTGGGCATCGGTGTTTCTAATTCCGGCTCCAGTTGTACCTCCTCGGATGGTATGACTGGACCCTCCTGGCACCCACCCCAGTCCCACCTTCTCAGAAGGCCCGACTGGAGCTCTGGGGATCGTCTTTTGGCTTTTGGCCCGACTGGAGCTCGGATGAACCACTTACGCCCCCAAGTGAACCGCTTCCACCTGCTACGTCCACATCCTCACAAGGTCTCCCAAACCCCAGTCCTATCAAACTTCAGGGAAGCAAAAGGGCCGACAGGAGTATGCTGATTTTGGCTTACTCTAGTACAGTATCGCGTATGTTGTATCTTAAGTGTCTTTGTCCGCATCTGTTCACCACTGCGCTTCAATACTTCAGCTACCCTTCAACCCCACCCCGCCCTCCTTCGCCTCTCCCCACCCTTCTCCCGGTCCAGGTGGCGGTCTGTGGGTTCAACGGCACGAGACGTCCCGGCTCCGAGGCCAGCAGGGGCTCCTGGCTCAGCTCACGCCGCCAGCCGCGCACGTGGGACGTGGGACAGGCGCGCGGGGACGTGGGCGCGGGTCGGATGGAGCGGGGGGTGGAAGGAAGGGGGTGGATGTTCGTCACGGGATCAGTCGGTAGGAGCTGGTAGGAATGGTAGGGGCACTTGGGTAGAGGCGTCTCTGGAACAGGGAAAATACATCCAAAAAAAATATAACAAATCTTCCAGGAGAGGATTCACGGAAGTAGATAGGAATAAGTTAACAGTTCCCCAAACGACGCAGTTCCCACTGACGGATCACTGAGGTTGCACCAATTCTGGGTGGTTGGAGGCCCCCCCACACCATGTAATCGATGGTCTTGAAGAGGAGATGTGGGGGTAAATCTTCCACTCACTTGGTGTTTTAGAGTAGGTTTATGTAAGTTTGTGCTGACCTGAAACCGGAAGTGAGTGGACACTTACCATTGTTCAGTGACCAGCGAGTGGAAAAAGACCGCACCCACTCCAGTTCAAGATATACCTTGCATAGATCGATCCCAGCGCATCTAGGCGCATCGATCCCGCATGTCGATCCCAGTGCCATCAATTCCGCTCAGTGACCAAACGTGACCAGTGAGTGGAAAACACCCGCACCCACTCGAGTTCAAACAAATACCTTTTTCCTAGGCGCCTAGGCGATCCCGTCCGCTCCGAATCCCCGGCGCCCGAAGGATCAACAAAGGTAGCCACTGCATGGCCAGCGTGGACATCTCGTGTCCCAGAGGCCCATGGCCATCCATGACACAGGCACACCAAATCCTCGGGTGGAGGTCGAAGGACGTCGGCTCCGGATGCCCCTACCCTCAAATACCCACAGACCCGAGGCAACTGCTATACATGTTGTCCAAAACCCTAGCTGTGAGGGTCAAAACGCGAGTTATGAGGGTCCAATGAGCGGAGGGTAGGAGGGCTCCAGTCGTAGCTCCGTGGGACGGGGCGCGGGTGCCAGGTACGTCCAGTCATACCGAACCTAAGGTCTCATGGCTCAGCATGTTGAGGCCTGTCTCCAGGCTCAGGCTCGGCACTCGCAAAGCTGTGGCAAAGCAAATTCTGAATTAGATATACTATATACTACCATAATAGATACCATCACCATAATAATAGATACGATAATGGCTACTATAATTAGATACTACAATAGATGGCATCACCATGACTGGATTTGGGCTCTTTAAACAAAATACTCACAAAAACACTGTCTAGATCCCCGATCACTCGACCGCACGGCTGATCCCACCAAGAAGCTTGGCGCCATCACTGTCCTTAAAATCGAAATAGAAAGCACAGTCCTGGTGTGAAAGCGGGCGTGGAACCAGCAACGACCTTTCTACCAGGACCCTCTTACAGGTCTCCTTTGCTGGCTTTTTGCAGACTTGAACGTCGCAGGTGGTGACCTCTGAGAGTCCACATAGACTCTGAGAGTCCACAGATTTCTTAAGAGCTGGCCTGGTGGCAAGGCACTTCACCGGTGCCTGGTGTACGAACCTGTGCTTCACCCGCTGGTCTCGAAGCACCAGCACCCGGAACACGGAGAAACGCCAGGTGCAGTTCCAACCAGGAGATGGATGAGAAACTGGTTGTTCCATATAGCAGAATTGCTTCGTTCCATCTCCCTGCTGGAGCACGATAATAAAGAAATAAGAAATATCAAGAAGCATCCAGTTTGTCCCCGATCCTTCTCCCCTCAAAACAACGTCCACGCGGCGTCCACGCGCCTGATTCGGCTGCGCCTTGTTGCCTTGGGGCAGCTGTATAGATTGGCCACATGAGGCTGTATAGATTGGTGATATGTCATTGAAATATTGTCTACCTGGTTCTTCAAAGTGACCGAACTTGATAACCTGGTTGGTTCGGTCACGGTCTCAAGCCTCCGGACACGGGTCACGAGTCAAGGAACCTTCAAGGAACCGGTCACGTACTGAAGAAGCTGGTATACCTGGATTCTCCAAGAAGTACTCTAGAACAATCAGGCATGACCCCATACCAAAACAGGCGTTGGTGCCCAAAACCCTCCCCTAACCATACCTGGATTGTCCAACTGTGCAACATGTCTCCCGTTTGAATGGCTGAATGGCAAACATGTTGCACAAATGGACGTTCGGTCGAACCATCCCTGGACCATCCATCGGACGTGACTCCCGGCATGGTTTGAGTCAATGTAGCCAGTCCCATTGGTCATGTCTGGGATGTATCTCCGGGAAGATCATGTCACTTGATGGCATGGACCACTTCCTGGAAGACGCTTTGCTTTTGCTCTACAAGCCGCACATAGATCTTCCAGCGGAAGACAAATCAGCTGGACATCGCCAAGTTGCCTTTCTGCGACACCACCCCTGGACTACGTCTCCGCGTCGGAGGCGCGCCATCGCCGTCCACCGGCTGCGCAGCCACCTGGCGGGAGGATGACCTCGGACCTCCGGCAGGTAAGAGAGGTATCACATGGAGAAGAGTGTGAGAGGCAAAAAAGCGTTCCGAATGTTTGCATGGAGTTGTCACTGGGTCATAGTTCGTTAATTTTTTTTCCGCACCGCAACTCATGCAGGGAGTTAGCACAATCTCAAAACTCAAGCTTGCCTGCCTACCACACATTCCCAGCACCTCGTTTTTGTTGGCTCCAAAGCTATATATTTACTTAATAATGGTGATCATCCGGATATGATAGGCAAGAATTCGCCTCAACCAAACCGAGCCAGCCACCAGACCGCTTCAGACCGCACCGCTCCAGATCGCGGCCTCGTTGCCCCGCAGGGTGAGCACCACCTTGCGTGGGCAGCACTGGCCCGGACGCTCGCGCTCCGAGGTGAACATCAGCATGGCCTGGAGCGAGGGAGGCGGTCCCAACCCCTGGAAGTGGGCTCCAGGGCTTCCGGAGCGGAAAAAGCGAAGGTAAACACTCCCAGAAGTGGGCTGGGCTGGGCTTCCATGTTTGGTTGGCTGGGAAGGATGCGGCTGAGGGCGAGTGGACGTGGGGCGGGTTTGGGTGAAGGATGCGAGGGATGGGAAAGGTGCAGGTTTGGGGGTTTGGAGCTGGGAAGATGGGATCTTTCTGAGGTTCGCAAACTACAATCACACATGATGACAATAATAGTTGGCAAAGGCATGCAAGCATATTATAACATGTTGCTGTGTATATATGTATATTACATGATATTATTACATAAAAAGTTGATTTATCACTAAAATCGATATCATTGTGTCATGCATTTGCAATGGTTGGGTTCAAAACAGGCTGAGGCAACAAAATGCAATCAATATATCCGTGCTTCTTCAACATCACCTTTTGATCCCCTAGTTAGAGGTCACTTAGGCTGGGCCTCTAAAGGGTCACACAAAAAACAACATCAGTCATGACTCCGATGAAGTAAAGAAACGCAAAACATCAAAACCAATGATTTGGGGAACCCTTTGTTGATCAAACTAGTCTGGGAAACGTTGTTTCTTGTTTGCTTTCTGGTTTTACGCAAAGGGTAGAGGCCTGTTGTAAGCGTTGACTTCTGCACCAAAGAACAATTCAAGACAGTTGTGAACAAAAAAACAAAAAAAACTCACCACAGGCCTTTGTGTTAAACTATAGGTATTGCCCTTGAACCACTGGCCACCATTGGATCTCTACCAAGTTGGGCTGTATTTTGGTCTTGTGAATTTCTCTACAAGGGGCACAACGACAACGCCCAAGTGCTCCCCACCAGGGTCACCAAACCAGTGGAACATGGTGGAACGCTCCCCACAAAAAACGGCTCTACTTATTATGGATGCTATGAGAACATGAAGCCAGGAAGCTCACATGTATTGTACACTCTTGATACCGTAGTTTTTCAACCTATATAGTAATTATATGATTTTTATCATCCAAGTCTGAGCGGGGTTGTATTCTTGCATTCATTCAGAGTCTAGAGTACATTAGCTGGTTTCCCAGGTCTCCTCCGGTCTCCTCCCTTTCGAGTCCTCCACAAAACACCATGGACACTCGAACACCGTGGTTTGCCAATGAACACTTCACAGGAGCTATCCAGTCCGTACTGACAAGAATGAATCTTAAACTCTGCACAAACACGGCGATTCGTGCTTCCATTAGGATCTCACAAGCCCATTTCTGGTCTTTCTATCATGCTTCTATCATGCTTCTTCACCCCTCCTACCCAGGGTTTTTAATACCTCCCCTAGGGATCCAAGTACCTTCTCAGAAGGCACTGTTATGTAGGTTTGGAGGGTCCAAGTACCTTCTGAGAAGGTACTTGGATTGTTAGGGCTCACATGTTCCCACCCCCGTCCCACCTGCTCACCCGCCCGCTCCGCCTCGTGGCTGGGCTGAAAGACCAGCTTCATCAAGGTCCTCCGGAGGAACTGGAAGACCCGGTTGAGGACCGGCGGAGGGTTGATGAAGAGGTAGGAAGCTGATGACTTGATGAACTTCCCGTAGATGATGAGATCTGATTCATAGATAGACTGGAAGAAACTGTATGAGTAGATGTGATGACAAGTGCAGATTAACTGGAAGATTAGACTGGAAGAAACTGTATGAGTAGATGTGATGACA